AGACTCGCATGCTACAGTGGTATCTGCGCGAGGATTTGTATGTGCTGAGGGGTCGTCACCGCCCTCATCCGGAACAGACAGTAGGTCCAGTTTAGCACCATCTATCCAAAGGATATGGGCACAAATCAAGTCCACAATGGCTAGAGATGTCCAACCTTGATCTATCTGGATAACTTATTGATTATGGCATGTCGGTTCAGAAGGCGAGAAATACTCGATTTCCAGTGTTTTGTTGTCTTTTTTCATCTCAAATAAGCTGTATAAGTTCTGTTTGTTGAGACACCTAATGTCGTTCTGCATGTTAGATTACGTGGCATAGTCCTTTTTTAACCCATCTTTTGAGGGCGATAATGCTTCTCACAATTCGCGTCTTGTGAGAGTAGAAGTTCAAGTTTTGTGCCTGTGTTAAACTCAATCTCGCGCAGGTTTTCAAAGTCATCTAATGTGATGTGACTGACTCTTTGAGACTCTGAAATTGTTTTTTTTCTCAGGTTTAGTATAGGAATGTCTAGGTATCCTTTCAATCGGACATGTTTTTGTTTTTGTCGGTTTTTGTTTTTGTCGCATATTGTCAGTCATCTTCATTTCCAACCAGGGTCAAGCGTGTTGATGCGATCCGGGACCCTCACTTACAACCCCCCCCCCCTTGAAGGTACCCATCCGTACGACCCCCGCCCCAACTGCCCCTTCCCCCCTCCCCCATTTACCCCCTTACCTTCCCTGCCCACATTCCTCGAGGTAACCTGCACAAACGAACGTCAATCTCAAAAAACACCTGCGTGAGAACTTAAGTGAGGTTTTGGAAGCAGAATTTCTAGGCCAATGGATGCACCCAGCATCTCTAGCACATATACACACCTTCAATAATGTTTGAGATTCTGCAAGTTTACTTTTGAATTTTCATGCATACTTCAGGCCAGCAAATTCGGTTCCCGTATGCGACACAAATCTTTGCACGGAGAAAAAAAATGACATTCTTGAACAACAAAAGATGTTTTCGACTAAGAAGCTTACTTCCTAACTTTTCCACATTTTTTCCCGCGAAAAAAAACCGCTTGAGCGCCGTCCAGAACGACGTCAAAAACGTGCATGAGCACGGTAGTTTTAAATTTGTAACTAAGGCCAGAAAGAGTCTGAGAGGCTGCAAAGCGCAGGTTCTGTAGTATAGTGCCCAGACTATTCACAGAAAAAGTTTCAGCTCTTGAGGAGCAGTGACCTTGAAAGAATTCAGATGCGAGTCTCGCAAATTTAGATGCGATCCTAAAAAGCAAAAACTGGGATTTTCGAGCTTAAAATTTTGTAACTCATCGGAGAAGTTATGAAAAGGCCTGAAATTTTTAGGATAAAAAGTAGGAGAATGGCCTCGTATTACAGCAATATTGCACCCAACAAGCTTCGATAGCTCCGGAAAAATTTAGATGCGACCCAGATACGACCCCTTTTTGTCATTTTTTTCCACCATACTTAAAATCATAAGAAAATCCGAAGGCCATGAAGCGCGACCAAATTTTGCACAAGTGTAGTAGAGCACCTCTTAAGTACACATAAATTGTAAGGACCGTATGAAAGGCATTACAAACAGATTTACAAATTATTGATAACTAGCGTTGATAGAGATATGAGCTTTTGTCGAGCGTGCGAGTCTTCAGTGAGCCTTCGGAAGCAGGATGTCTACACCAATCGGTACATCCAACATCTTTATCACACATACATGTCTTTAGTAGCATTTGAGCTTCTAAAAGTGTTTATTTTCTAATTTTAGTCGTGCCAGCAGGGTTCGATCCTCGTTTGCGACACTATTTTGCGGGAGAAATAGTGATTCCCATAAAAAATGAAGTAAGTCATAATCTTTCAAAATTGCAGCAAATGAAGCGAATTTCTACGTTTTCAAGTGTTTTCAAATTATTGTTCACGTTTTTATTTGATACATTGGACACGGCATTCCATGAATTTATTGTTAGGAGCATGTAGTAATTAATTGCCATCCGATTTCCTTTCATGCTTACTTTTTAATCCAAACTATCTCCTTCTACGACCCTCTCCCCTCACCGTAGGTACCCGCTTACGACCCCCCGTTGCGACAATCGCATTACACGCTTGACCCTGGTCATAACTGATGTTGCTGTTCGCAAAAGGTTCAGCGCCGGGAGCGACCACCGCCTGATTCGAGCCGAGTGAATCTTCGCATGACACACATCAAATTCCGTACTCGTCAAATGCCTCCAGCCTACAGCGAGATAAAAATGAAACAAACTTGCTGAATGATAAGCGAACTGCTAAAATTTCATCCTCGACATTTTTGACGGCTGACTCGGTGAACTCTTGGCAACAATTGTAAATCGAGATGCTGCTACTTTCGCCAAAGTTTCTTGGGAGTCGCTCGAACGATCCTCTAACACAGAACTCGATTTCTTCTTTTTTTCAGACGTGAATTGAAGTATGGGCTAAAACAGACGTCAACGATAAACGGTCACGTTGACTACATAACTTTCTGCAAAACTATGCGATGGTCAATGAAGCACGATCTTTACTGACATCACTGTTCCGTCTTGAGACGAGCCATCAAACGCAATCGTATAACACTCGGGTGTCTCGAGCTTATCCGTCAACAACAAGTCGTATGCCAATTGCGGAAGACAATAGGGACGATAACCACTACTTCGACAGAGGTTCAATTACTCGCTAATACCTTTTTCGCTGAGCTTGGCGCGACCCGCGAGATCACCGTTCCATTCTACAATCATCGACCCCTATCACTCATCTTATCAGCGCGACAAACGAGGAAATCAGCTTCAAAGATTAGAGGAGACACTGCTCCAGGAATTGATGGTATTCGCTCAACAGCTGCAGAGTATGGCGTACAAGTTGTTGCACCCCAACTCGCAAACACCATCAACCGAAAGTTCGAAGACAACCACATCTCCTGCCAACTTTGCCCATGCCTCCCTGATTCTCCTCCACGAAAGCGGTGACCGCTACGATATCAAAAACTATCGACCGATCTCCCTCTTACCCTCTAGAAAGTTCTGACGAGAGCAGCATGTCGAGTCGAAGAAAAAGCAAGTACCATTCTATTAAGCTGAGTTTCGGCAATGTTTCTTAACTACTGACCACTTAAAAGCTATCAATCACTTCATAGGAAACGCATGAATATCATCTACCCATCGCATTTCTTTTTCTCGTTCAGAAGGCGTTGGTGCCATTTATTTCAACTCAATTTGGAGAGCTCTTGCCCAGTACGGAGATGATACCGGCATAATACGATGATACAACTCCTGTATCAAGCAGCTACGGCCTCGCTTCAATCTGATAAAACCAATGTTCCGTTCAAAGTACAAATGGGAGTTTACAAAGGTGATGCTTTATCGCCGCTTATCTTCATCACATGTCTACAATTCGCAGTGATTCGTCTACTGGGAAGACGGAGACTGCGGATGACATTGTGCCCATAGGTCGCTGCCCAAGTCGATTACAGTCAATGGCTGTGAAAAATCGAAGCTTGCCAGGAAATCGGACTTCAAACGAATGAAAACAAAACCAAATGGATGGGCGAGGACAGAGATCGCTTGGGGAGTTCAACAATTACACTAACGGCAACACCACCAAACGCTGGACTCCTTTATCTACCTCGGTCAGCTACTGCAGTGCTCACGCGATCACGATGAAGAAATATTTATTCGCCCTGGGATGGCAGGAATGCTTTTGGCAAGATACGGAGATTTCTCATCAACAGATACGTAGGTGTTTATCTAAAACGACACTACTTCCGCAAAATCATCCTTCTTACACTTCTGTGTGGTTGTGAGATGTGCTCGTCCGCTAGAAAGTCTATGCTAAAACTACAGCGATGCCAGAGAGCACTGGAAAGGCTGATTTGGATATCTACTAAAGGACTGCAAATCTTCAACGTTAATTCTTTTGTAACAAAGCTGAAGGATGTGGTAGCAGCGGCACGCCAAAGGAAGTGGCGATTTGCTAGGAAAATTTATAGAATACGAGGCGAAGAAAGATGGACAAAAGTTCTTACGCGCTGGATACATCTGTTGGACCACGCTTTGGAGATAGCAGACCAAGAACTAGATGGAAAGATAATGTACGAAGGCACTGTAATGAGAATTTGCTCGTAGACGGCAAGAATAAGTTACGGATTTTAGCCAATGGAAGTGACTAGAACGCGCATGTCGTGATTCTCACGATGTAAGGAAGGCGGGCCCCGCTGACGGTATAAAAGGAAGAGAAGCGGACGAGGGAGCAGCTCGTGAGATATCCAATGCTTTTAACGAACCTTACACTTGGTCAACACTTGGGTTCTAACATTTATTGATTGAAGTTTAGTGACCAAGTGTAAGGTTCGTTAAAAGCATTGGATATCTCACGAGCTGCTCCCTCGTCCGCTTCTCTTCCTTTTATACCGTCAGCGGGGCCCGCCTTCCTTACATCATGAGAATCACGACAGTGCATATATGACAACATACTGATTAAAAGAAGCCTCAGACAAAATCATCACGGTATTCATCACTTCAACCGTTGAGCATGAATAAAAGATAGGTAAAGTAAAGAATAAGAATTACCTAATTGTACGTAACCGCATACTGGCATACTGCATCTGAATTTTATGAATGCAGGTATCAAGGAACAAAAAGAACTGCCAGCATCGGAAGAGGGACAAAAACTGCAAACTGCCTAGATTTTTAAGACAATAAACAATTTTTCTGAAATCTCCAAAAAAGCTTGCAGAAAGCCTTCTTCACAAGTTTTGAGACATTTAGGGTGGCTAAGTTGACGAACAAAATGGTGAAAGAATCATTATCGGACTTCATTTTTACGTTCATACTATTAATTGCACAGCTCAAAATGCACACGAAAAAATAAACAAGCTGAGTTATGATAGTGCAATGGGAAGGAAGACTGTATGTTGATAAACAAAATCTTAATTTTTATTTTACGCATACTTATAAATTGCATAATCTGGGATAAAAAAGTGGTTCATAATCGCTACGAAAAGAAAATAAGAGAAAAACAAAAAAAGCGAATTTGCTGCCTTTGTCATCTTGTGCAAAAACACATGTGTGTAATGTGGAGAGCACGACAACGCAAACGCCTAGGTGGTATGTGCGTAAAAGGATGGAAAAAAGCTACTCGTGAGCGCAATTCTGAACAAGCGTTTGTTGAGCGCGGAGCATAAATGCGAATTGTAGTTTATACCAATCAAGAGGAAAGGAAACATTTTTACACGAGGAAGAACAAAAAGAAAGGACTAACAAGTAGTAATGATGCACTATTTTTTTGCCAAACGCAGTAAAGACTGCGGAAGATGCGTTTGCCAACCATTATCCCATTGAACACGGCAACAGGTGCCATTGAGCTGCAAAAATCAATTCGTGACAAAATCTCGACGGATGCTTTTACGACTTACAGACAGTATGACCCCTCTTGCAGACAACATATGCTGCCTCACATGAATCGATTTTACAAAGTGTTTGAAAGCGCTGTCCACATATCCGCGATATTCTCGCTGTGCAACTGGTTCCTTACAGTCAACGCAACTCACCCATACAAATATATCTTCATATTTCCTATTGAACCTAAAGAGTCTGTTTACAAATAACAATCCATGATAATCTGAAATAATATCTACCAGAGTTGCAATAAAAGTTTCCAGTATGATTCAACAGCGCTCTCCTTCCACTGAACATTATCCCCTATGTGAAAAACGTCCGGTGAGCATATCTCGGCAAGACCAGGCAGGTTATAGAACTGAAAGCAATTAATAACAAGGCTATGTTTTGCCAACCTACCTCAGCCTCTTTTCGGAGGGCATCTCTAGCATCTTCTTCCGAAGGAGGGGTAAAATGTTCACTGTCTCTTAGATAGTCTAGTATCTGAATCAAAGCTCTTTTCAGAAATTGATGTAGAAATATAAGGTTACGGCACTTTTGCGAAATATACGGGGTTCCTGTCTATGAAAATCTCTTCTTGATTACGCCAACGACTAGCAACCATAGCAGAAAGTACCTTGATAGATTTATTGAAATTGGGCATTGAAGCGCAGAAATAAGCGAAACTTACAGTACCATCAGCCCTTGTGAGAGTGGAGAGATATGTTTCGAAAATAGTCCCACCAACATTGATCTTCACTCGCTCGCCGAAAGACCGAGGCTTGTCTTTTTTGTCTTTCCACTCCTAAAAATGATCTGTATTTTTGGAAGGACAGAAAATGTCAGCGAATAATAAAGTAGAGATTGATTTCAGTAACATTGATTCGTAGTCTTAAATTCCCTCACATTTGTTTTAGCACATTTAACCAACCATAATGCCGTTAAACAGCCTACAGAGGTGGGAACGGACGAATGAGTCATGAAGAATGCTCAGTGGTTCAGTGGTTTAGGAGAGCAAATGACGCCAATAGCAAATGACGATCAAAGGCAGACACTGTGGCCATCACTGACTGGCAGATATACTTCAAAAAACAATCATCCTTTCATGTTCTATTCATCATATTCCTTAAAGTTTTGTTTCTAAGGGTATGCAGACTTTGTGGAGCTGGCCTTCAGGCTCCCCTGCTTGTGGGTCTTGCACCTGTAATTGATTATCCATCTTTGAGAATCTGTGTCACTCATCCCCGCATGTTTCATGAACTCAGATCATTGCGAAAAGCGAATGCGGTGTCTTGTACAGTGCTGGCCAAAACTATAGATCCACTATAAAAAACTGCCGTAGTTCATCTGCTTCTCAACGAATTGATCTGAGATTTGGTACAGTTGTGTGTTCAACAGGCATTCATCAGTGACCGGAGCGGATTCCGTTTTCACCAGATTATTCAGGAAAAAAATTAAAAATTTCGAAAAAAGCAGGCTCGAAAGTTGGCCAAAACTATAGATCCACCTAAAATTTCTGCCTGCTAACGTGATTCTTAGCTTCCAAAATCTTTTGTGCATAAACCTAGTCGAAAGTCAAAGCAGTGGGTTTAGTTCAGCTGCGTCATACCTTTATAAGAAACGCTTATCTGCTTTTTTCCTCTTAAAAACTGCTTTCATGCGTATTTTGTTCCCGAGAATGTGTTTTTGTAGAGGATTCCGCACTTTTTTGACTGGTTTGAAAGTGATAGGGCTCCATCTATCTTATAGATGCTTAGTAGCGTGAGCAGCAGAAAAAAATTCGGGTTTTCGTATCTAAAGCGCACCTGACATAGACCTAACCGCAGGCCTGCGTTCAAATTTATGCCTTCAAGCTCTTTCTGCAACGTTGTCATGAGCGTGAACTGGAGTAGATACATTGTTGGTATGTATGAGAGTCCGTATGCAGTGATTGCAGGTTTTTGCAGATCCTAGTATGCAGGCTAATTGAGGACTTCATCCTGCAAAAAGTGATTTGCAACAAGCCTTGAAGTTATTTCTGCTTCTGACCATAATGCTCATGTGAATCACAAGGCAACATATATTGCAGGGTGTATTCAATAGTTAGCAGCTAAAAAGTGGCAAAATTCAAAGAAGGTACCAGTTGGTAAGTACTTTGAGATTGCCGAACACACCGCAAGACTTATGCTTTGAAAAAGAATTAAAGTGCGACTTCGCAAGCAATCGTAACTATAGTTTACAAACTTCTTTTTAGGTGAATAATGCTAAATAATGCTTCTACATTATTTTGAGATTATAAAAATAGCGGATACCAATTTTGAAGGCAAAAATTCGAGCGCAGGCCTACGGTTATGTCTGTGTCAGGTGCGCTTTGGATACGAAAACCCGAATTTTTTTTACTGCTCACGCTGCTAAGCATCTATAAGATAGATGGAGCCCTATCACTTTCAAACCAGTCAAAAAAGTGCGGAATCCTCATAAAAACACATTCTCGGGAACAAAATACGCATGAGAGCAGTTTTTGAGTGGAAAAAAGCAGATAAGCGTTTCTTATAAAGGTATGACGCAGCTGAACTAAACCCACTGCTTTGACTTTCGACTAGGTTTATGCACAAAAGATTTTGGAAGCTAAGAATCACGTTAGCAGGCAGAAATTTTGGGTGGATCTATAGTTTTGGCCAACTTTCGAGCCTGCTTTTTTCGAAATTTTTAATTTTTTTCCTGAATAATCTAACGAAAGCTGAATCCGCTCCGGTCACTGATGAAAGCCTGTTGAACACACAACTGTACCAAATCTCAGATCAATTCGTTGAGAAGCAGACGAACTACGACAGTTTTTTATAGTGGATCTATAGTTTTGGCCAGCACTGTATAACCACCTGGGGACCCTTTTGTGCACCCCAGTTTTCAATTACATTTATCTTTTCATGTTATTATCTAAAACGCCGCAAAGATATGATAACGACTCAAACCGCAACTTTGAGCAAGCTTCTGATGGAACAAACTAACAAGTCTCGAAGTCTCGAAGTGATCTTTTCGTTGTACTCCGCTCGCGAGCTGAGGTTCAAAATTCCCTGTTTGGTTCTTCGCTGCCATCTCACTCATAACTGTTGCATCGATATCTCTGCATCTTTTGCCACCTTATCATTGATCCTCTCTTTAGCAATACGTGACTGTGAAAAAGAACGTTGTTCCTTAATGTTCATGTAACAGATTATTGCTAACTTGACTTCTGTTTCAAATATCACGCAAGAAGGTTGACGTCAGCAGCTCCTGAATATTCGGGCCAGTAGGCTGCAGATTTGAAAAATTCAGTTTCCTGTAGTCTAAACCTAGAAACGTTTTTATTCAGGACTTTTCAACGTTTTTTCCTATTGTTATGCTCGCTAGTCTCGGAAGTTTCTCTCGAAATTTTTAATAGCTTCATCAAACACCGATTTTTCCGAGTTTTTGGTGTGGTTCTTATCTCTAAACTTCTTCTTCCATGTCTTCTATTTTTTCAGTGACGAGTACACGAACCTCTAATATAGAACTTTCGTCTAAGTGGTTTTTTTGAGTTTCAATTTTGTTTCTAGTATTTACTTCGTTGTTGCTTTTTTATGTCTTTGGTGTTTCAAGTTGTTTTATCTACTTTGGCTTATTCTTTAATTTAGGGATCCACTACGCGGCTATATTTCGCCTTGATGAGTTGTCAAAAGGGCCTGCTTTATTCTTCAATTTCTTGGCTTCACCTTAAACTGTTGCCCGACCCTTATATGCATAGTGTGTCACGATTATGCTAATATTTGCTTCCGTCCAGTCGGTAAAGCACTTTCTTCTCTCAATGATATACACAAAATTTATCTCAGAAACCTAGATAAACCTCGCTTCAATATGAGCACTCTACAGAAAGCTGTCATGTACTTCGTTTTTGCGTTGCTAATTTTAATCTTGCATTCTTGTATCGGCTGAATCGGCTCAAACAGCGGGAAAAGGAAGCGAAAGGTAGTGAAACATGCCTGGGTACGCACATGGTCTAGCCGTGTCGGTCATGTGCTGCCTGCCAAAGCGTGTCACTCGGAAGTGCTCTCTTACTTGCAGTGAGAGTCTCTTCATGTCCCGTTTTTGGGCTAAGAACATGTTAATTTCCCAAAAAGGTCGAAGAAGGTTATATTTTCTGCTACATTGACTCCATCTTTGATTAGTATGATGCACTTTGAAGCGTTTCTCATAAGCAAGTATTTTTGCGTTCAAAAATACTTCTATTCAGTACACTTCTATATTGACTAATTAGTATTGAACAACACACATTTCTCTTTGCTGCACCTCGACTGGATTATAAAATCAAAGAAAATAGCTAAATTGAAATAGTACAAGGTTGCTCTATACGTTCATTGTAAAAAACAGTGGAGCCACTCTAGAAGTTTGGATCTTGAGAGTGCCGAGACACAAAACCTTCTTTATCCCGTCTACACAGTGGGAATGTAAGTGCGTACGGGTTTAAGGAGGGTATCACATTCGCTTGCAATCCGTACCATGGAATCCGATCCAAGCGGAATAAGCGTCTTGCGCTCACCTTTCTTGTGGCTGCTTTTATGCAGGCGCGCAGTGACTTTAGTTAGATTCAAGGAAGCAGCAGCAATGACTGCGATCATTTGTTGTACTTACGAAGAAATAAGGCTGCACAGCAGGTATGGTTATGTTACGTTATGGTATAGCTGTGTGAGTGGTGCAAAGCAATGCAAATTGGAGGCGCACAACTCTTGTCGGCCCATAACTATTGTCGAGCTGTAGTCACCGGAAAAATTGTGTGTATGTAGCAAGGATTTTTTATAAGTCTTTCCGAGATACAAAGTCATGAAGAACAGCGCATGCCAAAAGGCATAATACCATCGCCTTACCGTGAAAGTCCATGTGTCCGCGTTTGGAATGTTCTATCAGGCTGCCGTAGTTTCCTTGCCAAGGCCCTGCTCGAAGTGGGCAAGTGTCAAGCTGGAATTCGCTTTGAATGGAAAGCAAAGGGGGATATTGTAATACGTCCACATGTACATACATTCTCTCGACAAGATGCCACACGAATGACATGCAAAAACACAATGTTATTCTCGCGGCATCTTCAAAAATTCAATTTCTTTTCACTGAATTGTAATTTAACGTTCCATTCACAGCGCACACGATATGACTAAGAATTTGGAGTATAAACGGACATCGACTAAGAGGAGCATATTGCAGAGTACTGTGGAAAAAATAATGTGACAATTGCGACAAGCTTTTTTCCAAAAATTATTTACAGATGATGATATGCACGAAATTTGGTGTGTGTACGCGCAGTGGTATTTGGGAACGAGTTATGGAAAATCATGGAATATTATGCGAATAAAGAGCGTGCTTAACTCAATTGCGCTTACATTCTGCCCCAATCGTAATCAGGCCGGACCGTCGGCTGAATTTGAGCGCTCGCAGCGCTAAGGGTCTGCATACGCGCGCTATCGCAGAGCGAAGAGCCGTGCCAATTTTGGCCTGGTTGTGATCGAGGCAGACTATAATACTTATGTGAGGAAGTCAAAAATTCCTTCCGTTTCACATGGGTTTTTCAAAATTTTTACGAAATCTGTGCTATATCCAGAATTTGGTATATAGCAATATTTTTGTTCCAAAACTCCTCCCCTTCTCTACATTGGGATCCGAATAGCAACGACGCCAGTTTTTTGAGGAGGAAAGCGCGCTCCAATCGAACAACCTACGCAGATGGCGGCATTCGATGGCAAATTGTGAAAATCGATAGTGGCAAAGGCGAGGTCGTTTTACCTTTGTCCTTTGCCAGTTTCATGCTGGGCCCTGTTCCTTGCTTATCAAAATGAACGTTTTGAAAACGGTGAGCTGATAAACATACGATCAAAAAACACAATTTTCCGTTCAAGTGGTCTAACCAGATATTGCATGCGAGCATTAACAGTATACTAATTCTTATGTGATACTTGTTTAGTTTTTATTTGTCAATAACATAATGCAATAACACGCAA